TTGTCTCTCGGTAGTTGCTCCTGCTAATGGTAAGGGACCATGAGTGTTGGGGATCAAATCAGAGGCTCCTATGTGCAAAACATGTGCTATTTCTCCGACCCATGATTGATAAGTTGATTTTCAGAGCCCTGAGAACGAGCATTTCCCTAAAACTATATTGCCCAGTCCCCTGCCAGAATGTTTTATCCAAATTATAATCTGAAAATAAAATACAGTAGGGCATAAGTCTGACCTAGACTTTTCCCTGTTGTCTCTCTGCTTATGTCATTACACCTTCTTAAAAAAAAATTCTTTCGACTTTATTTTTCTGTTCATCCAAATTTTACCCAGGTTTCAGGATCAGGTCATGCTTAACCTTTTAAATAAAGCCTGTTGTGTTCAATTGTGGCTATTTTTTCTTTCTTCAGTTTCTTTCAAAAATAATCACTGGCGGTTGACTATACACTTTTTATCGCTACCTTTGAACCTTTGAACTAGTTCTTTACTGGTATTAGTCAGGATTATCCTTAGAAATAGAACTAATAAGGTATATGTGAGTGTGAGAGAGTGTGTGTGTGTCTGTGTGTATATGTCTGTGAGAGAGGGAGAGAGAATAGAGAGAGAGAGAAGAGGGGGGAGAGAGAGAAAGAGAGAGAGAGAGAGAGAGAGAGAGAGAGAGAGAGAGAGAGAGAGAGAAAATGTACTATACATAATTAGCTCATTCATGTGATCCTGGAAGCTACCAAATCCCAGAAGCCACGTGGTTAGTTGGCAAGCTGAACACCTAGCGCCAGTCTGAAGGATGGCAGGCTTGAGACCCAGAAAAAGCTGATTTTTCTTTGAGTCTGAAAGCAAGAAAAAAAAAGAATGTCCCAGCTTAAAAAGAGATAAATTGTCTCAATATTTGTATGCTGTATCTTACCAGCTGGTAGATTAAAAAACTTGATGGCAAAGACAACAAGCCATATTTGCTTATCTTAGCAATCCTGAGCCCTTGTATCCTGACTTGTGTTAATAGATACATTTAATATTGCAATGTTGGAAAGGTTTACTTCATGTATACAAAGATTAGTAATATACCTCTTTTTTTTTAATGTAGGAGTACTGCTATTTATTCAGCCACTGATTAGCTGAATGAATTGGGCATGAATTCCACCTTACTTTTTTTTTTCTTTTTTTATAAAGGTAAAGGTAAAGGCCCTCCTGTTGTTCGTCGATTTGCTTGAGCGGGCCCAGTAACATCTCCATTGGAGACTTTGTTGTTACTGTGTTTGGCATATCGAATACGTCACGGGGAGCTTGCCAGGCTCTGCTGTGCGGGCGAGATACTCTCCGTAGCTTGCCGGGCTCTCCGAGAGGGGCAGAGGAATCGAACTCGGGTAGGCCATGTTGGCTGCGTGCAAGGCACACGCCCTACCGCTGTGCTATGGTTGGCTGTGTGCAAGGTTGACGCCCTCCCCACTGTGCTATCACTCCAGCCCCATGATTTAAGTTTTAACTGCTTTGCTTTTTGGGTCACACCCAGCGATGCACAGAGGTTTCTCCCGGCTCTGCATTCTTTTTTTTTTATAATTTTATTTATTGAATCACCGTGAAAGCAGTTACAAAGCTTTTGGGTTTAAGTGTTAAAATTTAAGTCTTGGTCATACAATAAAACACCCGTACCTTCCCCAGTGCCCATTCTCCACCACCAAAAACCCCAGTATACCCCCTTCCCACACCCTCCCCTACCTGTGGGGCAGATGATTTCCACATTATTCACTCTCTCTCTACTTTGATCACATTCAGTATTTTGACACCAGACCCACCATTATTATTTGGGATTTTACCCCACCGCTCAGATCTGCTGAAAAGGCAACAGTAGATAATTTGTGTTCTATTGCTGGTTAAAATAACATATGATGTTGCGTGGCTGCAGTAGTGGCCGCACAATTTTGAAATTCTGAAATTTTAACACTTAATTCTGGAGGGATTTCTGCCCAAACCTGCTGGGTTCCAAGATTTGTTCCTGAGTCTCTGGGAACATGGCCGTTAAGCAGCTTGATCAGGAACCATAGAGGCCGGTCATGGGCAGCAACTTGGGGTCTTGTTGGGGTGGAGAGGAAAGGGCCGGCTCCACTCCCATCCCGTGAGGCCCCACGTGTCTCATCACTGCAGGCCCAAACCTGACTGACCAGTGGCCTCTGGAGGATGGCCACCACTGGACCACCAAGGGGAACAGGCCAAGGCACGAAACCTATTCCCACCTGGGTTGGCCTGGTGCCAGTAACCTACTGCAGGAACCAGATGCATTTCTCCCAAAAGCCCTTGGGTCTTGAGATTTGTTTCTGAGTCTCTGGGATTATGGCCCTTAAGCAGTTTGATCAGGAACCAGAGAGGCCATGCCTCCAATTATATAGCTGAACCCGAAGTGGTTTGTGGGTGTGTCTCCCACATACCTAGCTTTTGGCCATTTACTTTCTTGGTAAACTTTGCCCCAAGTTTTTGGGGTCTGGCCAAAGGCACAGCAACAATTCTGGGGTATCTGGAAGTCTGAAGGTGCCATCAGGGTGCTGATGCACTCGTCTCACAGGTACAGATTGACCTGCTGGCGGCGCCATACCCCCAGTAATATACCTCTTGTTCATTAGAAGAATGAAGCAAGGTAATGTGTGTGTATGTGGGGCTAAGTGACTCTAGTGACTAAAACTATTTCACTTAGGAACTTGAATCAAAGTAGTTTGCAGAGCTCCTTAATATAGTTAAATGACACCATATTTCTAGATGGAGATTTCCGCCCCCCATCCCCCAACACACACACACACACACACACACACACACACACACACACACACCCAGCAGTGCTCAGGAGCTGTTTGTGACTCTGTACTCAGGAGTCACTTCTGGTGACTGGTATTTGGTGAGGAGGGGAAAGCAGGGACAGGGGCCACATCATAAGTGTGCTGGAGATTCAACTAGGGTTAGCTGCATACAAGGCAAGCTCTTTATTTCCTGTCCTATATCTCTGGCCCCCAGGATAGAAATTTTACTTTTCTTTTTTATCACTTTTATTGAGGTGACGGGCTGGAGCGATAGCACAGCGGTAGGGCGTTTGCCTTGCACGCAGCCAACATGGCCGACCCGAGTTCGATTCCTCCGCCCCTCTCGGAGAGCCCGGCAAGCTACCAAGAGTATCTCGCCCGCACGGCAGAGCCTGGCAAGCTCCCCGTGACGTATTCGATATGCCAAACACAGTAACAACAAAGTCTCCAATGGAGACGTTACTGGGCCCGCTCGAGCAAATCGATGATCAACGGGAGGGCCTTTTCCTTTATCTTTACCTTATTGAGGTGACATAATTTACAATACTGTTAATTATGCTTTACATGAAACCTTTTTCTCAGAAAAAAATTTTTTTTGAAACTTCATACAGTGGATTTGGGCTGGAGCGATAGCACAGCGGTAGGGCGTTTGCCTTGCACGCAGCCAACATGGCCGACCTGAGTTCGATTCCTCCGCCCCTCTCGGAGAGCCCGGCAAGCTACCGAGAGTATCTCGCCTGCACGGCAGAGCCTGGCAAGCTCCCCGTGACGTATTCGATATGCCAGACACAGTAACAAGAAATCTCATGATGGAGACGTTACTGGGCCCGCTCGAGCAAATCGATAAACAATGGGAGGACCGTGACCATACAGTGGATTTATTTCTCACTGTCCTGGAGGGCTGGATCAAAGTTCTAGATCAAAGTGGTAGAAGATTTGGTATTTAGTGAAGAACACTTCATGGGTTGCAGATTGCTACCTTCTTGCTGTGTACTGATAGCCTTTCCTTGAGCACTCAGAGATCCTAGTCTTGTCATTAAAAATGAATATTATGCATGTTACTTATATTCACATGTATGTCCAAAATGAGAACAGATCTGAGGTTGTGCTACTGTTTTATTAAAGCATATTATCTGATATGTTACATTTGGAATTCATGTAGAATGTTTCAGTGAAGTATTTAAAAAGGTAAATTGTTTTTTTAATTTGTATTAGTGAAACACCATGAAGTACAGTTGTAGACTTACAAATTTTTGTGCTTGGATTTCATGTATACAATGATCGATTGCTCCACCAGTGCCCATTCTCCACCACCAATGATACCAGTATCCCTCCCACCCTCAAACCCGCATCCCACCCTACCTCAGTGGCAGGGCATTCCCTTTTGTTCTCTCCTTTTGGGTGCTATGCTTTGCAAAAGAGGCATTGAGTGGCAATCGTGTTTGGTCTATAGTCTACTTTCAGCATGCGTCTCCCATCCTGGGAGGATCCTCCCAACACCCTTTATTTGGTGCTCCCTTCTCTATCTGAGCTGCCTTTTCCCCTAGCGTGTGCGGCTGGCCTCCAAGCCATGGAGTAAATCTCCTGGTACTAATCTCGGCCACTCTTGGGTGTTAGTCTCCTATTTTGTTACTTTATTTTCCCCAGGGGCTGGAGCTATAGCACAGCAGCGGTAGGGCGTTTGCCTTGCTCGCAGCCAACATGGCTGACTCGAGTTCGATTCCTCCGCCCCTCTCAGAGAGCCCGGCAAGCTACCGAGAGTATCTCGCCCGCACGCCAGAGCCTGGCAAGCTACCCGTGACGTATTCGATATGCCAAACACAGTAACAACAAATCTCATGATGGAGATGTTACTGGGCCTGCTCGATCAAATCGATGAACAATGGGAGGACCGTGACCGTGATTTTCCCCAGATGAATGCAATCTTTCTGTTTGTCCCTCTCTTTCTGACTCATTTCACTTAGCATAATACTTTCCATGTAGTACCACTTGTATGTAAATTTCATGACTTCATTAAAAAGGTAAATTTTAACCACAGCAACTTTTGTACCTATTTAAGGTCCAGACTTGCAGAACTGAAAATGTAGGTTGAGGCTGTAGAAGTTAAAGCTACAGTATCTAATAACTGTAGTACTTTAATTTAAACTTAGCCTTTTTTAGAAGTTTTTATTCTGACAGTGTTGTTTTCCAATTACTTTTTTTTAATGTTTTCCTACCTAGATTTTCTTGTAATCACATCTTAAAACCTTCAAGATGGTACTAGCAGACCTTGGGAGAAAAATAACCTCAGCATTACGCTCACTGAGCAATGCCACCATCATCAATGAAGAGGTATGTGGAATATTATAATCTCACATCACAAGCCTTGGAGAATTGGATTATTAGTAATTTGTATGCTTATTTTAATATGGATGTAATGTCTATAGATGAAACCTAGAACTACAAATATTAGATAATACTTTGAAAAATAAGTTTTAAGTCTTACTAATTTCAGCTTATTAAAAAATTACAAAACACATTTGTGATACATTTAAAACTTTTATACTTTGTTTTGTGAAAATGGCTGTTTTATAGATTAAACTTTTGCTTTCTCTCTTGACATAGAACTAATTTAAGTATCATGTTGTTTTCCTTCTTGTCCCTATCTGATCATTTTCCTTGAGGTTTACCTTTTTTCTTGTTGGGTGATCAAACCCAGGGCCTCATACATGCAATGCATGTGCACTACCATTGTGCTACATTCCGATATCTCTCCTCTTGATTTTTATTCATTGGGGGAACAGGGATGTGGCTCATTGCAAACATGTTTGCCTTCTTTGTGTTAGGATTTGGTTAGATCACTAGTAACCCTCCCCCCCACCCCCAAAAAAAGAAAAAAGACAACTAGTTTAATTTTGACTTCTTTGATTATTTTCCATGAAATTCTACTTGGTTTTTTGTTGTTGTTGTGTTGTTTTTGGTAGATTTGTGTAAGCTGGTACCTTTATTTGGTATTCTCATATTTTATCTGAAATACTCTTCCTTCTAACTTTATAGCTTTAGGTTTAAGATATTTCTCTTTTATTCTATGCATTGTATCTTAATGGTTTATAAATTGAAAAAAATTGTTTTACCCTAAAAATACGGGTTTATGTTTTGTGGAACTAATGGAAAAATAATTGGTTTTTACAAGACCTTGTTTGGGCTGGAGAAATAGCACAACAGGTAGGGCATTGGCCTTGCAAGCGGCCTACATGGCCGACCCAAGTTTGATCCCTCCGTCCCTCTCAGAGAGCCTGACAAGCTACCGAGAGTATCTCGCCCGCACAGCAAAGCCTGGCAAGCTCCCCAAGTGACGTATTCGATATGCCAAACACAGAAATAAGTGTCACAATGGAGACGTTACTGGGCCCACTCTAACAAATTGATGAACAACGGGAGAACAGTGACAGTGACAGAAGACCTTGTTTAGCATCTCACCTATATGATATGAATTTCCAGTTCCTTAGTATATAATAGCATTTAACTTAGAAGATGGCTTGAAGGATAAATAAATGAATGGAAGGTACTTTCTAACTTAGAAGTTTGAACATCTGTATTTTTTCCCTATAAATTCTCTAACACTCAATATGCTAATAGAATTAAATAGTTCTGGGACTATCTTTGATCTTGTCTAGTACAACCTCTCATTTATCATCAACAGAAAGTCAGTTTCACATGTTTATTGGAAGAGCTAGGATTAAAATTCTTTTCCTAGTTTTTCATTTAATATTTATTATTAAGTAATAAATCATAATTCAAATAATTGTTTGGTCTTCGAAATTCAGAATCAAAACAACATCTTTTTAAACAGGTTTCCCTGTTATATAACCATTATGCTGTTTGTATGTGTAGTGAAGGAAGAAAACTGGAAGAGGAGCTTGGTGGGAAGTAGGATACTGCTGTTTCTTGAATGGGCAGTTTCTCTGCTCTTGGTATTTTGCTGCTAGGGAACTAACAAGGAGAAATCTGTGTAGTGAAAGATAACTTATGTTTTTTGTAGACCCCTTTAATGAGGGATAAAGAAATCTGTAAGCCTCTGTAGGATATATGAAGAGAGTTGACAATTAGAATTCATTTAAGAAGTATTCAAGGGCTTGTGTTTTCGCACATTTTTGTCAGCATCAAAGATGTAGCAGTGAAAAAAAAAAGAACCTTTCCTTTTCGGAGATTTACGTTCTGGTATGAAAACAGTTATTGCATGAGCAATTAAAGCCTCATATTTTCTTAAATACTTCGTCGTTTATTGCCTTTCAACTGCAGAGCCTTCTGACTCAATAAATATGTGATGATACTTATCAGTAGAGTATGATTTCCTTTTACAGCATTTATATCTCTATTGTGAGTAAAATAAACTTGCTAGGTAGGAATAGTTTTTTCTTTTGTTACATTTTTCTTGGCAGCCCAGTTAATCAAATATAGTGGATCAGCAACAGGAAACTGTTCTATGATAGAGAAAATTTCAATGACCATATTTATTGTGAGGGAACTTTATTTTTGTTCATTTATTATCTTTACTGTTTTGGTATTGTTTTCAATCTTTGAATAAAATTATGGTAATACTGTTGTAAAAAGCAAAATGAAAGATCTTGATTTAGCAGAATGATTAACATTTAGTAAGATTATCTAAGAACTTGAAAACTTTTTCCCCCAATAGTGTAGTATTGTTCTTAAGGGACCATGGTAGTAGAAGATGATTGTTCAGCCATGGCTTTTATATGATTAAAATGATACACTAGATATTTAAAACTTTTACTTATTTACAGGTATTAAATGCTATGTTAAAAGAAGTATGTACAGCATTATTGGAAGCAGATGTTAATATTAAACTAGTAAAGCAACTAAGAGAAAATGTAAAGTAAGTAAAATTAATCAGGTAAAAAAACAGGCAAAACTGAATTCAATTTACTAAGTTGGTGGGCTAATTGGAAAAGTCTGCTATATAACGAAACATTTTCTGTTGTATAGCACTGAAAAGAACAGAATTTATATGTTGGAAGAATATATGTATAGAATGCTTCCATAATGATGGTTCTAAGAAAAGAGTACATGTGGCTTTCATTATTTGTGGATTTTTTCCATTTTACTTTTTTATTTGGATGGATTTAATCATACTGTATATTTTATTATAAAAAAGGCTTCTAACTGCTCAGATTCTTCATAGAAAAATAGTGCCATTTTATCCTTTTCAGACTAAAATGACATTAATCAGCCTCCTTTACTATTGGAGAATTACACTCTTTTTTGTCTCCTTTTTTGGTTTCTTTGTTCATATTGAATGAAGGAGTGATGTGTGTGGTCTCAGTTATTGTATTCATTGGAAGAAGCTCTCACTAGGACAAGGCAGATGAAATAATACAGGGCAACTCAATTAACTGCTTGAATTCTGGCCCTTGTCATGCATAGGCCATCCCTCCATTTTTGTTTTGTTTTGGTGCATAATAAATGTAGAACTCTTAGCATTTAAGCATTTTATACTAGAGAAAGAACTATTTTCTGTCAGGTATAAAGTATAGAAGGTGCAAGAAAAAAAATAATAGTTTACAAAGATAGGACAAATTAATGTCTAGATTTTTTAAAAAAAAGTTTTTAAAAACTAACCAAAGTAAAAATAAAGCAAAAAAGAAATCAACTAGCCAAAGTCTAATACTTAATAGAAAATTCCTTATGGCTTTGAGTTTAAACTTTTGGCTTGGATCTGTTGTATCTATATGTATATTAATTAGAAGACTGTTAATATGAATGTTGACCATGCTTACATAGTTTTGGTGCCAAACCTTTTTTTCTTTAGTGTTCTTTAGTGTTTTAACTGATTTTTCTCTCTTCTAACTGCAAATCACCACCACTGTGAAGGTCTGCTATTGATCTTGAAGAAATGGCATCTGGTCTTAACAAAAGAAAAATGATTCAGCATGCTGTATTTAAAGAACTTGTGAAGGTAAAAAAAAGTATATCAAAGCTTTTCACTAGGGCAGGGGTGGGAAAATAAATTAGGGAAGGGGACACTAGGACAATAGTGGGGGAGGGGAAAAGTGCCTGCCAGAGAGGCAGGCTGGGAGCAGAAGGGAAACTGCTGGTATTGTGGAGGATAGTGAACTGGTGAAGGGATTGGTGTTGGAGCGTTGTTGCCTGAAACTCAATCATAAACATTTTGTAACTTTGAAATTCATGGTGATTTGATTAAAAAATTCAAAACAAAAAAGTATATTAAAATTGTGGTATGGTTCTCTGTAAACCACTAACTTAAAAAATACATAAGTACTGCAGACAGGAATCTTTATTTTTTCCCCACGTATTTCACTTATCAGGCCAGAGAGATAGTACAGCTTTATAGAGCACTTTCTTTGTATAGGGCTGACCCAGATTTGATCCCTGCCATTATATTTGGTCCCTGAGCATGTCAGGCGTGATTTCTGAGTGCAGAGCCTTGAGTAAGCCCTGAAGATAGTCCCAAAATCAAAACCAAAATTTATTTCATGTGTGTATTTATGTATTGGGGGTTGAGGGAGGCCGAGGTTTAGGCCACACCCTACAGTGATCAGGGCTTACTACTCCTGACTCTGTGCTTAGGGATCACTTCTGACAGTGCTCAGGGAACCTTATGGAATACTGTGGATTGAACCAGAGTCAGCCACATACAGGGCAAGCCTTTAACCCCTATACTATCACTCTGCCCCCCAGAATACTTTATATTTTTATGTAATATTTACCTTGTTAAGTAATAAATGGGAGGCCTGATCAATAGTACATCTGGTAGGGCGCTTGCCTTGTATGTGGTTCACTCAAGTTCAATTCCTAGCACCATATATGGTCCTTCAAGGAGTGATTCTTCTTCTTCTTCTTCTTCTTTTTTTGGGGGGGGGGGTTCACACCCAGTAGTGTTCAGGGGTTACTCCTGGCTCTGCACTCAGGAGTTACTCCTGGCGGTGCCTGGGGGACCATATGGGATGCTGGGAATCGAACCTGGGTCCGCTGCTTGCAAGGCAAACGCCCTCCCTGCTGTGCTATTGCTCCAGTCCCAGGAGTGATTCTTAAGTGCAGAGCCAGAAGTAAACCCTGAGCATAGCCAGTGTGACCCCCCCACCCCGAGCATAGCCAGGTGTGACCCCCCCCCCTCCCCAAGCAGAAATAAATTAAAGGACCTTTAGCTTTTCTAAAGCTATTTTTAATATAGACTTTGGGTGCAGAATTTTGAGTACAGCTAAAAAGGCTAATTTGGTTCGTACAACAGAAGTGGAGAGGTTTCAGCAGACATTGGTGAAGTGATTTTGGCACATTGATGATGAGTGTGCTATGACAACTTACCTTTGAAGAGATGTGAAGAAACAGTCCTGAAACATGTTAGATATAAACAGTGTACCTCAATTTAAAAAAAGAAGAAAAATAAAAAAGCCAAATCCAAGTTACAAAAAAGTAAAACTTCATTCCATATTGATTAATGGAAGGGCCTCTCTGAGTTTATCTTCTTTTAATACCAGCTCCTACTATTGAAGCTCTTACTTTTGTGCAGATAGTCACACTTGCCAAATGCTAATTGTGTACTATAGAATCTCCTTGAAAACTGTTTAAAATTTTGTTTTTCAGATAGTAAAATAAGTCCTTTTCTGTTTCCTCACAGAAATGATGTTATTGTGGCTGTCATAAAAATCTGATGAAAATCCTAGCACTTTAAAAGTATGCAGGGGCTGGAGCAATAAATAGCACAGGGGGTAGGGCGTTTGCCTTGCATGCGGCAGACCTGGTTTGATTCCCAGCATCCCATCTGGTCCCCTGAGCACTGCTAGTGCATCACAGGATGTGACCCAAAAAGTAAAAATAAATAAATGAAATATTAAATAAAAATTAAAAATACGCTTAAGTCAAAAATGATAGAAAGACAAAGAGGAAGGAATTACTAACATTTTTGATTTCAAAGAATAACAGATATCTGCTAAGTGACCTCTGAATATTTTTTTCCTTCATTCTGTATATTGTTTTATTTACTCCTTTGATTCCAAACAGCTTATTTATACTTTGGAAGTTGAGATGGTTTGTCATTTCAGTTTATCCTCTAGGTTAGTTGAAAAGAAACTCAGGCCTAAAAGAAGTCATTGGGTTTGTATAGTCATACTTTCCACTCAGTTTGCAGTTGATGAAACTGCTAGTTAATGGTAGACTCCAGTCTGATCTCTAAACTCTATATAGGACTTCTCAAATTATTTCCAAATTGCTTTTCATCTATTTCCTGAATCAACACAGAGTGAGAAAAAAAATTTTTACTCCTGCCTGTGTACTCAGGGGTCACTCCTTGGAGTGCTCAGGGAATCCTCTGCTGTGTTGGCCACATGCAAGCCAAGCACTTGAACTCTGTACCTTCTCTCTAGCCCCCTACCATTATTATGTGAAGGAGCTAGTAGTTATATTTATTACTTGAACAAGTAGAAAATCTGTGGCAATTGCACTTGGACATTTGGTAGACCATCTCCACAATAAGTGAAGGGAGCCTGTCACTTTAAGGAAAATAATACTGTGGTTTGCTGGTTTTGGCATATCAAATATGCCACAGATAGCTTGCTAGGCTCTGCCGTTCAGTCTCGTTTCTGATGTTGTGTTCGCTCTCAATGGAACGACCATCTCTGAATGCAACAGTTATGTGTACCTAGGTCGAGAAGTCAACATGACGAATGACCTGGCTCCTGAGCTGTTCAGGAGGAAGAGAGCGGCTTGGAACGCCTTCAGGAGCATCAAAGAAATAGCTACGAGGACGAAGAAACTCCGGCTCTAAGCATATCTCTTTGATTCCACTGTTCTTTCTGCAATAACATATGCCTCAGAGGCCTGGACCCTACGAAAACAGGATGAGAACGCTATTCGGGTCTCCCAAAGAGGAATTGAGAGCTATGCTTGGAGTATCACGCTTCACTCAAATGAGAGAAGGAAACCGGAGTTCTGACCTCCGTCAACGATCAAGAATCAGGCACGGTCTCGTTTGCCAAGGTGTTGAAAATCAGATGGGCTGGACATGTAATGAGATTTGGAGAATCAGATGGGCTGGGCATGTAATGAGATTTGGAGACGACCACTGGACTAGAGCCATTACCGACTGGATTCCATGGGACGTCAAATGATCACGTGGCCGCCCACCTACGAGATGGTCAGACTTCTTCGTCAAGACCCCGAACGATCGGTTTGAGGCTCTTCATGCTCCTAGAATGAGCAGACGCCATTGGGCTACACTAGCACGTGACAGGGACGAATGGAGACGTTATTGGCGCCCGCTCGAACAAATCGATGAGTAGCCAGATGTCAAGTGATCAATACTGTGGTTAATGGAGAATTCAAGTCTTCAAGTAAAAGTTGGAAACTTGTATCTTGACTATGAGTTTGACATCATTCCAGTACTTATTTTTCTGATAGGATCAGTATTGATGTTAACAAATAAAAATACTAGATGTGGGGGTCAGAGCTATAGTACAGCAGTGAGTGCATTTGACTTGCATGCAGCCAACCCAGGTTCCATCCCTGGCATCCGATATGGTCCACAAAGCCGGGTGTAATTCCTGAGAGCCAGGAGTAACCTGTGGGCACTGGGAGTGACAAAAAAGCCAAAACAAAACAAAATAAATAAAGGGTTTTTGGACCCTTAAAAAAATAATAAAACTAGATGTATGTCAACAATGGAGATATGTGTAACTCATCAAACCTGTAATTTCTAAAAGATTAATTCATGATTATAAAAATCCTGCTATCAGTCTAAGATTCAAAAGTACAAGATAGGTTTTGGTGGAATAGCAGTGAGCATAGCTGCCTTCTAAAGTGCAATGTTGAGTAATAGATTTAAATATAATATTAAAATATACTACCTTCATTATTGTTTCTGGTTACATATGATAGCTAATATTTACAAATAATTTCATTGTAAATGGGCTCCCAAGACTAAAAATTAGTTTAGTGTTTCTATTCTTGGGTGCAAAAGGAAGAGAAGACAGACTAATAAAATCTTTAAAAACGTGTTTCAAATGGTCACAGAGAACTGGGTAGTCCTGCTGTCAGATCAAGAGTGTCAGTGATAGATGTAGGGTGTCATCTGTGTTCTGAAAGGGTGTTGGAGCAAAAGGAGTGAATTTATTTTTAAATTTTTTTTTCTTTTTGGCAATGTTTTATTTTTTTCCTTAAATTTTTATTAGTGAAACACCATGAGGTACAGTTGTAGACTTAAAAAATTTTGTGCTTGGGTTTCAGTTATACAATGATTGAATACCCATCCCTCCACCAGTCCCCATTCTCCACCACCACTGATCCCAGTATCCCTCCCACCCCCCATCCCCCAATCCCATCCTACCTCTGTGGCAGGGCATTCCCTTTTGTTATCTCTCTGAAAGGAGAATTTATTTTTAAGATAGATTTTTACCTACTACACAAGTTTGCTTAAGTCTGAATCTATACCTGGGACAGAAATACATAGATTTTTTCTTTTCCTCACTTTTCTACCACATGCCTTTCCTCAAGATTCAAGTCTGATATGGATTCTGTGAACTAAGTGCTACCTAGTATGGATGCACTTTCTTTAAAAGACTTATTTTATTGCTGGGGAGTCAGCTCATATCAAGTACGTTTGCAGCTTAGGCAGAGGAGCAGCTCCTGCATGTGGTGCAAGGAATTGAACCCAGGAGGTCCTTGAATTGCCACGGCATGTGCTCCCCTATTTGATTTATGAGCTGCTGTCTGTTGCGACTACTCAGCTATATTGTATATTGTAGCACTAGAACAGTACACTGTAGTAGTGTTCTGTTAAACTTTATTTACACAGTATGCAAACTTTTGATCTAGAACCTTAACTCGTGGCATTAATAACATATGCATAATGAATATCTGTAGAGAATAATGTTCTTCATCAGCGTTGATGAGAAAAAAAATGACCCAGCCACATTGAACAGAATTATTTGAGCACTTGCCTTCCTTATACATTCCCTTAAAGTTGCAGTTTTCAAGAACCTATCAGAGACATTAAGTGAGGACCACCTGTGCAGGTTTCAAGCTCCAAAGAACTGGCTCAGAAATTATCTTTTTTTTAAATGAACTTTTAAAATGCCTTTTATTTGATTAATGACTGTGTATTCATGAACCTTAATTTTCTACTGTCTGGAAAATTGCTAATTTTTTCTTAGTTTGCTAAGTATAATTTTTATTGTAGGCAAGCCTCACCTGGTGTTGCTTAACGACTTTTCCAAGCCGAGTGCTTGGGGTTGAGCCCAGGCATCCTACATGCAAAGCATGTGTTCACCGTCCTCTCTATAGATACAATAGAATAATAAGACTGTATAGAATAAGAAGTCTTCAGCATTGCAGAATTTAACATTCAAGTGACCTGGAGAGTTTTTTCATATAAAAATCTCACATGAGAATGTTTTCATGAGAATTACATGTGCTGTGTACGTTATGGCACATACATGTAATTTGTAATTGTGCTTCTACATAAAAGGTAAAGGTAAAGGCCCTCCCGTTGATCGTCGATTTGCTCGAGCGGGCCCAGTAACGTCTCCATTGGAGACTTTGTTGTTACTGTGTCTGGCATATCGAATACTCTCGGTAGCTTGCCGGGCTTTCCGAGAGGGGCGGAGGAATCGAACTCGGGTCGGCCATGTTGGCCGCTTGTAAGGCGAACGCCCTACCACTGTGCTATCGCTCCAGCCCCGCTTGTACATAAACACTTGTTAAATTGAGCATGAAGATAAGTGTTGTTCTAGTGTGGTAGCCACTAGCCACATATGGCTATGGAGCATTTGAATGTGGGTGGTTCAAAGAGAGATGTATTATAAGTACAGATACATGCCAGATTCAGAGATGGTGTGGGGAAAGGCAATGGTAAAGGTAAAGTCCCTCCCGTTGTTCGTCGATTTGCTCGAGCGGGTCCAGTAATGTCTCCATTGGAGACTTTGTTGTTACTGTGTCTGGCATATCAAATACGTCACGGGGAGCTTGCCAGGCTCTGCCGTGCGGGCGAGATACTCTCGGTAGCTTGCCGGGCTCTCAGAGAGGGGCGGAGGAATCGAACTCGGGTCAGCCATGTTGGCTGCGTGCAAGGCATACGCCCTACCGCTGTGCTGTCGCTCCAGCCTGGTGTGGGGAAAAGGTATACAAAATGCCTCATTCGTTTTTAAAAGAGATGACATGTTAAAATGATATCATTGGTGAGTCAATAATAAGGGTAACAAAATATTAAAATATATTTACTTTGGTGTCCCAAGTAGGGCTCCAGGGCCATCCCTGGTGATGCTAATTGCATTTTTGATCCAGTGCTAGGACCCAGTGATGGTTCTGCTTGAACCTTGTGGTACCAGGAACAACCAGAACCACCCAGCAGTGTTTGGGGCTTTTAAACCACACTTAGCAATTTCCTAGGGCCTCCAGGGCTACATTCTTCAATGCTCAGGAGGTCATGTGGTGCTAGGGATTGAACCCTGCCTTGTAGCACCCTAAGTCCTGTACTGTTTCCCTAGCTACTGGTTTGCTTTTTTCAAATGTCACTATTTGAAAAGTTGAAACTCATTTGTGGCCTATACAGAACTGATACAGATCATGCACTTGGCTTAAACTGGTCTCATGTTTTAGTCACACTGAAGCTTATTTTTAAAATATTTTGAGGGGCCAGAGTGATAGTATAGCAGGTAGGGCATTTTCCTTGCACTCAGCAGACCTGGGTTTGATCCCCAGCACCAGGTCATACCTGGTTAAATATGCTTGATGTGGAGATGGGGTAGGGAGATGTTTGCTCCCTGCAATACTCAGGGGACCATGCTGTGCTACAAATTGAACCCGGACTTCCCAATACAGAGTATGTGCATGCATCCCTTTGAGATATCTCTGACCCAACAGTGCATTGTTTCAAATTCTTAAATTTCACTGGGCTGGAGTGATAGCACAGCGGGTAGGGCGTTTGCCTTGCACTCAGCCAACTTGGCCGACCTGAGTTCGATTCCTCTGCCCCTCTCAGAGAGCCCAGCAAGCTACCGAGAGTATCTCGCCCACACGGCAAAGCTTGGCAAGCTCCCCGTGACGTATTCGATATGCCAAACACAGTAACAAGTCTCACAATGTTACTGGGCCCGCTTGAGCAAAATTGATGAACAACGGGAGGACAGTGACAGTGAAATTTCACTGCTTGCATGAGAAGGGATTAGGTGGGTTGTTTAAGATTAATAGGATTGTGGGTGACTTTTTTGTTTTTGTTTTGGGGCCATACCTGATGGTTCTTAGGACTTACTCCTTGGCTTTACACACAGAGATCATTCCTGCCCCATATGGGTAACTTTTATATCAAAATGTTCTTAAATTATCTTTATAATTTAAAAGTTGTGGGGGAGGCCAGAGTGATAGTATAGCAAGTAAGGCACTTGAGTTGCACAGAGCTGACTTGGATTTGATTCTGAATACCTCACCTGGTTCCCTGAGCCCACCAGGGGTGATCCCTGAGCATAGAACCAGCAGTAAATTTTGCACTGTCATTTGTTGATCTGAAACTAAAAAAAAAATTTTTTAACTTGAAGGAGATGGATTTTGGTTTTGAATATAAGGATAAATTGACTTGAATTAAGCATATTTTATTCTTAATTTGCTTTTTGCCTTGTAGCTTGTAGACCCTGGAGTTAAAGCATGGACACCTACTAAAGGAAAGCAGAATGTCATTATGTTTGTTGGATTGCAAGGGAGTGGTAAAACAACAACTTGTTCGAAGGTAAGTACTACTTTCTTCTTTCCTTTTTGAATATTTAGGATCATTTCCAGTAGAGCTCAAGGCTTAATCCTGGCAGTGCACTCAGATCACTCCTGACGAGGCTTGGGACATACTGTAGAGTACTGGACATCAAACCTGAATGGCCATAAGCAAGGGCTCTACCCACTGTACTTAAATAAGCCTCCCCAGCAGAGTTCTGAGGATGCAGGGAGTCCCTCCCAGCAGGAGTCAGCCTGACATTGCAGGTCTGATGGCTCAGTGCTCAGGCCTGAATGTGTGGTTCAGTGTTACTGGACACCTGCAAAGTTACACCCAGTGGAGCTGGGAGATAGGAGTCCCTGTGGTGTTGAGGGCTGACTGGCTGTCCAGGCACTGACAGGAATGACCCCCAGGTGCTAAGTTGAGAATATACCCTGAACTCCATCTGGTGTTACCTCTCTCCCCACAAAATAAACCTAAAAGTAAAACTTTACTACTTAAGTAGATAATAGTAGTAAACAGAAACAGTAGTCTGAATACAATGTATTTCTTTTTCTTTCCCAGTTAGCATATTATTACCAGCGGAAAGGTTGGAAGACTTGTTTGATATGTGCAGACACATTCAGAGCAGGTAAAGTGTTGAAATTTCAAATAAGTTGCTATAACTTTTATTTTAAAGTTTGCGGATTCATTAACTCTTTTTCTCATAGGTGCTTTTGACCAGTTAAAACAGAATGCCACCAAAGCAAGAATTCCCTTCTATGGAAGGTGGGTTTCCATTTCATTTTGATAATCATGTGTATTATTAACACTGTATCACTGTCATCTCCTTATTCCTCAATTTACTCTCGAGCCAGTAAAATCTCTGTTTGTCCCAGCCCTGAGATTTTAGCAGTCTCTCCTTACTCGTCTTTCCAAACGATTGGAGGCTCTTTCAGGGTCAGGGGAATGGGAATGAGATCTGTTACAGTTACTGGTTTTGGCATATGAATAGGACATGGGTAGCTTGCCAGGCTCTCCCCATGTGGGTGGGATACTCTTGGTAGCTTGCCCTGGGCACTCATATATATGTATATGTATGTATGTATGTGTGTGTGTATATATATATGCCTACTGTATGAACTCCATCAAACATGGTGTGGTAATTATGGACAGTGGGTAGGAAGTGTTCCATGATGTGTCCAGAAAGTGGCCTGGAGCATGGCGGCGGTTGGGTAGTGAAGGTCGGCTGCCGGGACTGGGTCCCTTGGGGTGTGGAGGGCTCTCACCCGTCCCCCTCTAGGGTGCCCCAAGTGGAAATAGCCTGGTGCGGAGTCCCATGTATTATTATACCTGTCTTTTATGTTGTGTAGTCACATTTTGATACAAGCTTAAATTTTTTCTGGACAGATGGAGTAAAACTAAATTATTATTTATTGTTTAATTTCTGATCCATTCTTACAGAAAAGAGGGGACACTATTTCTTTGTGGGGGGCATGCCCAGTGGTGCTCAGGGCTTACTCCTGTCTTTGTGCTCAGGGATCACTTCTAGTGGGGCCCAGGGGACCCTGTGAGGTGCTGGGGATTGAACCCAGATCAACTGCCTGCAACACAGGCATCTTTGTCAGTGTACTACTGCCCTGCCACTCCTTTTCTCTTTCTGTTGTCTTTTTTTGGTTTGTTTTGGGGTCATACCTGGGCTTATACCTCGTTCTTTACTTAGGGATAACTCCTGGTGGGGTCCAGGGCATCCTCTGGGGAACCCCTCTCCCCCAAGGTGTCCTGAGTCAGCCTTATCCAAGACAAGTGCCTTACCCACTGTTCTATCTCTTTGACCCTATTCTGTTGTCTTTTCAGACCTATCTGATATTTTTCTCGATTAAACCCATACTTGTGAATTCTGTACTCTTATTTAATATATAAAAAATTGCATTTGATCATCCTAAAATTACTTAAAAATCTATAGTCTCAGGTAGAGATTCTGATCATTGGCCTTTCCTCATTTTATGTACATTGCTATTTGTATTTTAATATGCATTCTTTTGATTGGTATCAGCTTTTTTACAAATCAGAATTGTCAAATGAAACCACACATATTAAAAAATTGTTTTCCCTCTAAATTAAGAACAACAAAATACATGTTTTTATATGAGATTAAAATGAATAAAATTACTGTGTTAATATGCATTTGGGGGTTGGGATGTTGAGCTAGACCTAGTGGTGCTAGGTCTACTCCCAGCTCTGTTCTTGGGGTCCCTCCTAGCTGTGCTTGAGGAACCATGTGGTTCTGTGCATTTTGGGAACAGATGCAAGATGAGCACCTTAATCCCTATACTGTCTCTTTAACCCCATCTATATTTTAATTTAACTTCGTATAGGTTTTAGGCCACTATAGTCACATTTTGGGTTATGCTTAGGGTTTAGTCCTGGTATTGTGCTCAGAGATTATTCTTGTCAGTACTTGGGGGACCGTATGGGATGTTGGGAATTGAACACAAGTCAGCAACTTTACGGTGAGCTCTACCAGCTGTATTATATTTCTGGCCCCCTATCCATATTTTAAGAACAAGTACATCAGGGCTTGGGAGAGAGCTTCATCACACTACATATGCCAGCACCTGAGTTCAAACCTTGGCACCATATGCCACCCTCCACCCCTGGCATTGCCAGGTATAGTTTCGAAAGCCTCCAAGTACCACAGGGGTGGTCTCATGGTTCCCAACATCATGGTGCCATAGCATTAAACCTTTCAGTGTGGTTGACTTAAATATCACGGGCCCAGTGACCACTGGGCAGCCCTCGCCCCCTCAAAAAGTTTGGTCTCCCAGCTAAAACTACAAAAAAATTCCCATTTCTCCCCTAGTTAATTAGTTTTGTTGTTGATCCAGTAATAATCTTAGAAGATTTTTCTTTCTGGAACTTACTAATTCTAAAGTTGATTCATAAAGGGATATTGGTACACTGGTGTTGGAATTATATACATGGGAAACCATCGTTAACAATATTATAAGTCAGAACTTCTATCAATAAAGAAATTATAATTTTTTTAAAGGCTATCTAGTAAAACATAGGTGAGAACAGTCAAAAAAATGTTAAAGGTGCTGAAGTGATAATACAGCCGGTAGAGCACTTGCCTTGCACACAGTGATCTGATTCAATTCCCGACCTCACAAATTGTCCCTGAAGCCCACCAGAAGTGCTAAGTGCAGAGCTTGGAGTAAAACCTGAGCACCACCAAGTATGGCCCTAAGATAAAAATGTTAAAGAGGAAAGATCAATTATTTATTATTCTTGGTATTTTTAATGTGATGATGTAATAAAAATATGCAAAAAAATGATCAAAGACATGAATAAGAGAGCCGGAGAGACAGTATAGCGGGTGAGGTGCTTGGCTTATATGCCTCTAACCCAGGTTTGATCCTCAGAACCCCTTGTGGTCTCCCATGTAATCACCGGGTTTAGAGCCAGAATTAAACCCTGAGCACTACTGGGTGTGGCCCCAACCCTGCCCCTCCCCATATGTTCATAAGAAGGGATTCAGGGGTAGAAGATATATCCAGTAGGTAGGACATTTTCTTGGCATGTGGCCAGTCTGGCATCCCTGGCAACCTGTGTTGTCCTTCAAAGCCCTGCCAACACAAAACATCTGATTCCTGAGCACAGAGCAATAAGTAAGCCCTGGGCACCAATGGGTGTGACCCAAACACTCCTCACCCCCCAAGCCCCCCAACTCCTCCCATAAAGAAGGGATTGATGTATATATATGCATTGGAATACAATCATGTATTATCTACACCTTATATTGTCTATGGTAAAATTAAGAACCCATTTGAGGGGCTGGAGTGATAGTACAATGGGTAGGGCACATGCCTTGAATGCGGCCGACCCGGCTTCGATTCCCAGCATCACATATGGTCCCCCGAGCACCGCCAGGAGTAATTCCTGAGTGCAGAAGCCAGGAGTAACCCCTATGCATCGCCGGCTATAACCCAAAAAACAAAAAACAAAAAGACAAAGTACCCATTTGAAATTAACTCTTTAGAACATACTTCTTGATTGTAAGATTGACAGAGGTTTTGAGGATAAAGAATATAGTAAAATAGGAATAAAGTTAGTTAACTTCATGAATGACATTTTATCTTTAAAAGCTAAAAGTCTACATAGTCATTTCTTTGATCCAAATTCAAATTCCGGTTCAAAGGAATAATCATGTACAGTATATATATGTATACATATATAACATATATGTTATATGTATATGTTGATTTTAATAGCAAGTAATTAGAAAAACCTCAAATAATCAAAAACAAGGCATTCATTTAATAAATGATAGACTAGCCATATGATGGCATATGAAATATAGCCTAGAATCATGATTTGCAAGAATATTTTACTGTTTTATGGAATGCATACTGGGTTGGAGCAGTAGCACAGCTGGTAGGGCACTTGCCTTGCACACAGTGGACCTGGGCCGGGCCAACCCTAGTTCGATTCCTCTGCCCCTCTGGGAGAGCCTGGCAAGCTACCAAGAGTATCTCAACCGCATGGCAGAGCCTGGCAAGCTACCTGTGATGTATTCGATATGCGAAAAACAGTAACAAGTCTCATAATGGAGACGTTACTGGTGTCTGCTCAAGCAAATCGATGAAGAACGGAAGGACAGTGCTATGGAATGCATACTTGTAGTTTGTGAGAAGAGTTGAATGCAAAAGTAGGTGTGAAACACTATGTAATATGACTTCCATTATTAAAGAAAATTAAAAAAAAACTCATGAGCACAGCTGGGTATGAACCAAAAAAAGCAAAAAGAACAGGGATGCAGCAGAATTATACAGGATTTTCTGTGTGAAAAACTAGATAAAATTTGATGCTATTCCAGAAGTAGATTGCTTTTTTAAATACTAGATTTTATTTTTTCAAATTGAAATTTTGTTTACTAGAACATTTTACAAGACTAACAATTTTCAAAGTATTAGTATTTAGAAGCTTTGCTATTGGAGTTACTGCTAAATTATTTGTTCATGTAAATAGCTATACAGAAATGGATCCGGTTATCATTGCCTCTGAAGGAGTAGAGAAATTCAAAAATGAAAACTTTGAAATTATTATTGTTGATACAAGTGGGCGCCATAAGCAAGAAGATTCTTTGTTTGAAGAAATGCTTCAAGTTGCTAATGCTATAGTAAGTAGCTTTTAATTTAATAACATTGTAATGACTTTGTTTAATTTGATTGCAAAACCTGATTAAGTTTATAATCCTGAGATATTTTGCCTTCGAGGTAGATTTCAAGTGCTTTTGAATAATTTTGCTTTAGGCACCTGCATCTGTGTGATAAGGACTTAATTTTCTCTATTTTAAGTGAGAAATTTCATAAATATCAAAAAATAAATTTCCCTTCTCAATCATTCCGATGGCACATAGAAGAAAAAAATATTTGTTTAAGTGCTAGTGCCAGAGAAATATTACAGGGGTTAAGGCACTTGCTTTCATGTATGTAACCAATTCCTTTTTAGTTCCAAGCACCACATAATATTCCTCTGAGCATAGAGCCAGGAAGCCATGAGCACTGCCTTAGCCCTCCCAAAACACAACAACAACAAATACTATTCATCGTTTAATTTCTCTTTAAAATCGTAATGAAAATAACTTGGAAACAAGTTTCTGGGTCACCCAAATCACCATTTTTTTTTCTTTTGGGTCACACTTGGCTCTGCACTCAGGAATTCCTCCTGGCGGTGCTCAGGGGACCATATGGGATGCTGGGATGCTGGGAATCGAACCCTGGTCGGCCTCATGCAAGGCAAATGCCTAACCCGCTGTGCTATTGCCCTAGTCCCATCACCAATTTTTGGACTCACATTTTGAAATTGGTATTGGCATTCTATGGTTAATGGTTGTATCTTTTTAGCTGAGGTGAGCAGAGCTTTTTGATCTAGATGAGCAGAGCTAATGGGAATATTCTTTATTTATTTATTTTTCATTGAATCACAGTTACAAGGTTGTTTTTGATTGGGTTTTTATTATATTACGTTCCAAATACCCATCCCTTTACCAGGTACATTTCCCACCACTAATGTCCCCAGTTTCCCTCCATACCACCTCCACCGGCACCCCCCCCCCCCGCCTCTGTGGCAGGCACTTTTCTTCTCTCTCTCTCTCTCTCTCTCTCTCTCTCTCTCTCTCTCTCTCTCTCTCTCTCTCTCCCCCTCTCTCCCTCTCCGTCTCTTTCTCTCAATCTCTCTCTCCCCCTTCCCCCTCCCATCTCCCTCTTTCTCTCTTTCTCTCTTTCTCTCTCTGGCTCTCTCTCTCTCTCTCTCTCTCTCTCTCCCCCCCCCCCCCCTTTCCTTTTGGGCATTATGGTTTACATTAAAGATACTGAAAAGTTTTCATATATATCCTTTTACCTATTTTCAAGAAAACTCAGTTCTTGTTCAGAGTGATCATTTCTAACTATCTATCTTAACTGCCTTTTTCCCCCACCCAAACTTGTGGCAAACTTTAAGGGAAATAGTCTTACCTCTGCTATATTCATTTTGATTTTAGTACACCTTGCCACTTTTCTTCTTCTGATTTACTTTTGTTATACTTTTACTTAGAATGCAATTTCTTTATTAGCATGCCTTTTTTCTGTTTACAGTGGCCTACTTTTTTTCCTTTTTTGTTCTGACTTCAGCTCAAAGACTATCCAAGAGTGGTCTCCACAACTCAAACTGTTTTATAAAAATCATTGTCATTTTTGTACGGGTCATAGCCAACAGTGCTTGGAAGCTACCAGGGCCACACCTGGTGGTACTAGGGTACCACAGTGCTGGGGATCAAACCCTTGGCCTCACAAGGCTTGTGCTTTACTACTTGAATGAAATCTGCAGTCCCAAACTAGTGTTTTTAATCCCATTTCAGTTGTACATCAGAAATCTGTATTTGCCAGATTCATTTTTTCTCTTCTGACTAGAATGTAAATTCAACAAGTACAAAAATTTTCTTTCCCCAGAACCATTAGGTTACTAAAACAGTAATTATTGACTGATTGAATAGTTTATGATATTTTTATTATAACTTCTAATTACAGATTTGCTAAAATCAGTAGTAATATATATCTTCTTTGTTTATATTTTCTAGCAACCTGATAACATTGTTTATGTGATGGATGCCTCCATTGGACAAGCTTGTGAAGCTCAGGCTAAGGCTTTCAAAGATAAAGTAGATGTAGCCTCAGTAATAGTGACAAAACTTGATGGCCATGCAAAAGGAGGTGGTGCTCTTAGTGCGTAAGTATCATTGGTGCTGTTGTCTTATACCTAGTGCTGTGTGTGTGTGTGTGTGTGTGTGTGTGTGTGTGTGTGTGTGTGAGAGAGAGAGAGAGAGAGAGAGAGAGAGAAAATGTTATGTGTATATACCAATGGCTTTCTTACTGAATGTTTATATAAAAGCTTTATTAAAATATCATCCAGACATTTACCTAGTATGATCTATAAAAGAAGTTTAATTGAAAACAGTTTTGGAAGCTCTGATAGTGGCAATTTTGCTATTGAAAGGAAATTTGAACTATGTATGTTTATCTAATTAAGTTTGAAATGTGCTGAAAATGTGTTTCTTTTTTGAGGTTATGCTTTCTTTGCATTATAGGGTTGCTGCCACAAAAAGTCCAATTATATTCATTGGTACAGGGGAACATATAGATGACTTTGAACCTTTTAAAACACAACCTTTTATCAGCAAACTTCTTGGTATGTACAGTGGTGGAGATTAAAACACTCTAAGAAATAGTATGGATCTTTGAGACAGATTCGGATTAAAAAAAAATTTTTTTTTTCTGGTGGGGATGGGAGGGTCTGAAACACCCAGCAGTATTCAGAACTTAATCCTAGTTCTGTGCTCAGGGATCACTCCTGGTCTTTTGGTGGGGTTTCGGGGACCCAGGATTGAACCAATGTCAGCCCTGTGGAAGGCGTTACCCCTTTGTACTATCGATCTGGTGCCTAGATTAAAATTTTAATTTTGTTCTCTCACTTAACTAGTTTAGGAAAAAGATTATCTTTCATGACTTCCTCACTTCTAAATTATCTGCCATCTGCTGCCTGGGGTTAGAGTTGTAAAATGAATGATTAGATGTAAAGTTTCAAAGCACAGTCTAGACGTAAATGGTTTGTAACGAAATCAGAGGTAATGACATTAAAATAGTAATTTTAATGGCAACAAAATTCGTAATATCCCTAGGTAGTATAATTAGTATGGAATTTGGAATTAAACTCTCAGCTATTGTTCCTACTTTGTTTCTTACATTGTCACTTTATTTCTCTAACTTCATTTTTGCATTTTCATCTAGCATGTAGTAAGAATACTAGATCTGCCCACCTAACAGGGTTATTACATATGTGTGTGTATTTTACATAATGTGAAGCTGGTTAAACAATTGGTTGCTAATTCTTCCTTTTTTGGGTCTTACAGGTATGGGTGACATTGAAGGACTAATAGATAAAGTCAATGAGTTGAAGTTGGATGACAATGAAGCGCTTATAGAAAAGTTGAAACATGGTATAAAAGTAGCAAAATATTTTTAATCTCTTATGTTATTTTTGTTAAAACTTAATTTGTTTGAAATGATAAATCTCTAAAGTCAGTTATCCAAATATTTTGGGTCATTAATATGATTTAACTAATATATATTTTAAATGACTTAAATAATTTTAATTCTTAGATATCTGAGCAGTTATAAAATCTCGTGTTTTTATTTTTATTTCTTGTAATCAAATTGCCTTACTGTTAAAATTAAAACTTTTACCATTTTCCTTGAAGTAGAAGAGGTTAAAAGTAAGTTAGATTGTGTTAGTCTCTATCCTCAAAAATTATATTAATATAAAAACTTATATTTTTTGTTCTGGGGCCGTGACTGGTGGTACTCAGGGCTATTCCTGGTTCCATGCTTGGGGCACATTGCAGTAGCACTGTAGCACTGTAGCACTGTCCTCCCGTTGTTCATCGATTTGCTCAAGTGGGCCTAGTAACGTCTCCATATTGAGACTTGTTGTTACTGTGTTTGGTATATTGAATATGTCACGGGGAGCTTGCCAGGCTCTCCGAGAGGGGTGGAGGAATTGAACCCGGCTCGGCCGGTTGGCTGCATGCAAGGCAAATGCCCTACTGCTGTGCTCTCACTCCAAACATTGCAGTAATGGAAATAAAATCTAAACCTTTGACAGAGAGCGCCAAATCCTAACCACTAGACCACCAGGTAGCACAAAACCCAAGCACAAAAATTTGTAAGTCTACAACTGTACCTCATGGTGTTTCACTAATAAAAATTAAAAAAAAAAAATCTAAACCTTGAGCCTTCTCCATGACCTCTATATAAAGGCACTTAAAAGGATAAGATCAAATTCTTTCTTGTTCCATGTATTTATGCACATTGAAGAGCACTACTGCAGAGAAATACATCATTTTGATTAAGAGTTCAGGTTCTTACACACTTGAACTTATATTTAATCTGTTTTTAGCTATGGAATTTTTTTTTTATGTTTTGGTTTGGTTTGGGTTTTGCTCATTTTTTTTTTATTAGTGAAACACCATGAGGTACAGTTGTAGACTTACAAATTTTTGTGCTTGAGTTTCAATTATACAATGATCAAGTACCCATCCCTCCACCAGTGCCCATTTTCCACCACCACGGATCCCAGTATCCCTCCCACCCCATTTCCCCCCCATTCCACCCTGCCTCTATGGCAGGGCATTTCCTTTTGTTCTCTTTCTCCTTTGGGTGCTGTGGTTTGCAAAAGAGGCACTGAGTGGCAATCATGTTCATGGTCTATAGTCTACTTTCAGCATGCATCTCCCGTCCTGGGAGGATCTTCCCAACACCCTTTATTTGGTGCTCCCTTCTCTATCTGAGCTGCCTTTTCCCCTAGCATGTGTGGCTGGCCTCCAAACCATGGAATAAACCTAGCTATGGAATTTTTTTCAGATTAATTTATCTGCTATAAGTAGATAACACTAACTTTGTATATAAAATATCTCACATGTAAGCATTCAACATGTAATACTGAGTGTTTCTGTTTTTCTCATAATGATCTTTTCATCTCTCTGATCACATATTATTCCCCTTTTTTCTTTTCATCATCTTAGGTACTTATGCCTTTCCCTCTTTCCTAAATGTAGATTTTTTTTTCAAGGATTATTCTGGGCCCAGAGAAAGAAGATGGCTTTTGAGTAGAGGTTTCCAGACCTTTTTATTTATTTATTTTCGCTTTTTGGATCACACCCCGAGTTGCTCAGGGGCTACTCCTGACTGCAGTCAGGAATTATTCCTGGCAGTGCTGAGGGATCATATGGGATGCTGGGGATCAAGCCTGGGTCGGCTGCGTGCAAAGCAAGTGCCCTATCCACAGTACTATTGCTCCGGCCCAAGATTCCCAAACCAGTTTCTTCACATTCGGGGCTATCTCTGACCAGGAACCTACCACCGTGAACGCATCAGCTTGATCAGTGTTTCCTGAAGTGGGAGCACTCACTGGACTAGTAAACTTTGGTACAGTTTGGGGGAGTATTTTGTTTGTGGGCTTAAAAAAGTAGACTTCTTGAGGTCCCTGATTAAATTTTTTTTTTTTTTGGAAAGAGTGAGCAGTAGGCCATATAAATCTGGGGACCTCTTTTCTAGACCATCTCTCTACTCTGGATCTTGAGGCACATACATACTTTATCTACTGGATGATTTTTTGATGTTCCACTGACACTTTGAATTAAGCATCTTTTTCTTCTTATCCTATTCTGGTGACTATTGATGAATATTGACAGCATTGTTGATTGCCAGTCAAAAGCTTTGGGTGTCATCATTTACAGTCTCTCTTTCTTGCTCTGCTCATACCTTTTCCCATCTGGCAGTTCTAATGTTTCTATTTCTTAAATGTTATCATTCCATCCCCTTCTCTCCAGTACACTTTCAGTTATGAAACTACCTAAATTGTTTCTTGTAAGTCTTAATAGATTTTGCAGCTTTTTGGACTCGTCCCTTGGGATCTGCTTCTTATACTGCGGCCAAACTGAGCTTTCAGAAATGCTCATCTGATCCCATTACTGCCTATCTTAATGGGATAGACAGCTTTGTCTTGCCCTTAAAATGTTTTTAAATGATTATCATTTAGTCCACATTTTCTGCATTGTGTTTTGGCATTGTACTTTTTAACACTCCACGTGCCAATATGCTTTCTATTTCTTTTTTTTTTTTTTTTTTTTTTTTGCTTTTTTGGTCACACCCGGCAAGGCACAAGGGTTCACTCTTGGCTCTGCACCCAGAAATTACTCCTGGCGGTGCTCAGAGGACCATATTGGATGCTGGGAATCGAACCTGGGTCGGCTGTGTGCAAGGCAAATGCCCTATCCGCTGTGCTATCGCTCTAGCCCCTGTGTTTCTTAAATAAACATCGCTGTCTCTCCTCTCTGGGTCTCTGCTCCTGCTAGAACTGCTGTATGTATTAGAGAGGCATCCTCTCTTATTTTTACCCTTCTCCCCCAGAGCCAAACTGGCTAAATTAATCGTATATACCAGGTCTTTTCTCAAGTGTCCATATTTTATTTCTAGTCTATTAATTTTTCTTTTCATAGACAACTGTAGAAGAAACACCCAGGTAATCAAAAAAACTATTTTTTTTTAAATTATATGGAGTTTTGCTTGCTCCATATCTTCTAAGTTTTTGGTGTTTACCAGCCTTTATCATTTTCTTTTTTGTTGTTGTTGTTTTTGTTTTTTGCTTTTTGGGTCACACCCGGCGATGCTCTGGGCATACTCCTGGTTCTGCACTCAGGAATTATTCCTGGCAGTGCTCAGGGGACCATAAGGGATGCTGGGAATCGAACCCGGGTTGGCCGCGTGCAAGGCAAACGCCCTACCTGCTGTGCTGTCATTCCAGCCCCCAGGCTTTATAATTTTCGTCATCTTAATGGGTATAGCCTATCTACTTTGTCTCTAAGCATCTTGTGTATTTGTATATGTCTTAGGGTTTTTTTTTCTGGTATAAGTCGTTCTAGAGCAGATAGGATTTATCTTGGTATTCTCTAATGCATTCTATAATTTTTCATACAGTAACTGAGCTAACTTATTTTCATTGATTATATTTTTGTAAGTATGCTTCAAGATAATACCTTTTTGTATGTTCTTAATTATGTCTGTCATTTATTTTGTATTTCAGGTCAATTTACACTAAGAGACATGTATGAGCAATTTCAAAATATCATGAAAATGGGCCCTTTCAGTCAGATCTTGGTTAGTTATCTGAACGTTTTAATCTTTTAATATTTGGTGTCCTGTTAAAGCAAATATTAAATATAACATTTTGAATAATTAATTTGTGAACTGTTATTGATTTTATGTTTAAATGTCTTTCAGGGGATGATCCCTGGTTTTGGAACAGATTTTATGAGCAAAGGAAATGAACAAGAGTCAATGGCTAGACTGAAGAAATTAATGACGATAATGGATAGTATGAATGATCAAGGTAAAATGGAAAGTTATTTAACTTGGAGAACAATGTTCTGTGTATCAACAGATTGATAGTTCTGTTGTATAACTGTGAATAAGAGGAGGAAAAAATTAGAAAGGTTTTGTTACGTAGATTTTGACTACTGAATGTTCTTCACTCAAAGTGCTATGATTATTGGATTGACTTTGTCTTTGAAAGAAATGCCTGGTGCATGGCTTCTAGTGAGTTACTAGGAAAAAATACTAGTTCTCCATGATATTGGCAGAAATGACTTTAAAGGGGGAGTTCATTAGTAAAATTTGGGGAATACTGTGTTAATAGAACAGGAAAACACTAAATTTATTCTAAATTTCTAATTTCGTATCTTTATTTTATGAAAGCTTTGGAGCTTTCGGGTATTATTATAAATTTGTGACATGTAAAAGAGAGATGTTTGCTCTGAGCTTTAAAAGTTTTGGTTTTCTGAGTAGTATACAGCTCCCTCTCTGTAACTTATTACTGCCTCATATTTGCTGGTCTGTTATCTTGGTTATCTTGTTCTGGCCCCATTAGTCTTTCTAGTCCCCTGGCACCTATTGGCACCTTTTTTTTCCCTCCAGTTTTTTAGCATCCCTTCTGATTTTACCCACCTATATGCAGTACATTTATTACCCTTGTTTTAGCTCTTCACTACTGCTTGAACTCATCAGCAAAAATAAATTTAGGCTTTTTTGAATTGAATTCCCATAAGCTCTGACTAACATATTAAGATTGTGATATACAATTTTTTTAAAGACATATCTTTTATTAATAAAATTCTTTCTGTATCTTCAGTCTCTATTCTCTTCCTATCCCTGAGCTCTCATAAAAATATTAACATTCTTGAATTCATATTTTCTCATGCATTCACAGTTACTTTTTAATCAAACTTCCTAAAAGAAGTTTCAAACTACTGAAATTTCATTTCTGTTCCTGGTACTCTGAAATGGATTATCTGAAGATCTGTAATCATTTTCTGGGGTATTCCTAATGAATACCTTACGACATTTTCTTTAAAACATTGAATATTGTTGATTACCTCTTTTTCTTGGTTTTCATCATTTCCCCCCATTTTCCCTTACCTTTTTTTTGAACTCAGCCTCTTGTGCAGTCTCCTGACGTGGTTGTATGATAGAGTGTTCTGCCTTCCTCCCGTGTTTGTTGTATTGCTAATTTTCTTTGAATAACTTATCTATATTTGTGCTTTACTTACTACCAGATTGTTTATATTTTGTAGTGTCTACCTTTTTTCCCCATTTTTTTTCTGTTTGCCTTGGGGACCACACCCAGTGGTACCACTGACTGTGCTCAGGGGCTTTTCTTGGCATTGCTTGGGGAATCATAAGTGGTGCTGGGATTCAGACCAGTTTCTTGGTGTAGCCACATAATAGGTAAGCACTTTAATTATTTATCTTTCCCTCTATTTCTTTCTGAGCTCTAGACTTTCATAATAACCCAAGTAGGGTGGTTGTTTTTGTGTTTTCCACACTGCAAAAACTTTTGCATGTAGAATTATTAGTTATATTTAGAGTATTTTCTGTTTCCTAAATATTGTCCTGAACCTTTTACATGTATTAATCTACTGAATCATCGCAACTGTGGGATATTTCATTATTATAATAATAGTTCATTATTATATATCTAGCTTTTACATGTTAGGAAACTAAAACATGAGGAAGCTGAGTTACTTGCTCAAGGTAGAGAGTGGAGAGGCTTTACACTTAGACATTTCATTAAGTGCATGCTCTGGATCATCTCCTCTTTAGGTATTCACTAAATGATGGGCAGATATCTCTTTTCATGTTTGAAAGTTTGCCAAAATGCATCATAAGGTCACACGTAGTGGTTTTCTCATCGTGAGTGATACTTTCAGTCATTTACTGTGTCACCCAAGCTAAATTTTACTGTGGTCAGTTTTAAAGTGTTTGGCTTTACTGCTTTCAGTAGTGTCTATTTTGCTTTTACTATTCTTAAACTCTTTTGTTGGGTACATACACATGGAGGATTATTATGTCCTCTTAGTGAACTGACCCTTTTATATCATTATGCTTATAGTGTCATTTTTCTCCTTGGTATACTTTGACATTAATACATCCTCTCCAGTTTTTGTTTTGTTGTTTTTATTATACTTTTTAAAAAAAATGTTCTTATCCTTTTAACCTGCTTATATATCACACATGGAGGTGAGTTTTGTGTAAACAGCGTATAATTATTTTTTTTCTCTTAATACTTTTTTGTACTTTTAACTCATAGAGAAGCTAGAATTAAATTCTGCTGTTTATTATTTTTATTCTCTCTGGTTTTTATTCTTTTTCCTTTTGCTACTTTCCTATTGGTTACTTAAATATTTGTTGATGATCATTTTAATTTACTAAAGTTATTCATCTCAGTGGGCTGGAGCGATAGCACAGCGGTAGGGCATTTGCCTTGCACGCAGCCAACATGGCTGACCCGAGTTCGATTCCTCTGCTCCTCTTGGAGAGCCCGGCAAGCTACCAAGAGTATCTCGCCCGCATGGCAGAGCCTGGCAAGCTACCCGTGATGTATTTGATATGCCAAACACAGTAATAACAAAGTCTCCAATGGAGACGTTACTGTGCCCGCTTGAGGAAATCTATGAACAACGGGAGAACAGTGACAGATTCATCTCAGAATAGATGCCTTCTATGATACTACAATATACATAAATATTTAAGTTACCTCTATTTATGCATCAGTATTTTGTCACACAGAAACTTTAATATCACTTTGTATTCAGTAATTTTTTTGTTTTCCTAAATATTTCTCACATCCTCCTCCTTCTCTGTCTCTTTCCTACTTATGTGTTTTTTGGGCAGTTTGGGTGTGGAGGTATACCTGGTGGACTCAGGACTTACTCCTGGATCTGCACTCAGAAATCACTCCTGTCGGGGCTCAAGAAATCCTATTAGGTGCCAGGGTTGACCCAAGTGCCTTAACCTTTGTACTGTCTTTGGCTTTCTCTTTCTTTCCTTTTTGTTTCTTCTTTTTTTCAGTCTTTCTCATTTCGACAAAAATCGTCTTTCTAAATATTTTAGGGTAAAAAATCTCTCAATGTCTATTGTTTTGATGATGAATACCCAACTCTGTGGAATCCATACAATCATGTCCTTACCTGCTTTCTGAAATCTCTCACCTTTTATCTTTGCTTGGTTCTTGATGCATTCATTCTAGGAAACCTTGTTCTGCCTCCTTGACTGTTGCTACCTTGCTCCTTTTTCCTACTTATCTCATGCTTTTTCTTCAGGACTGTTCAAGAGAAACACCCACACAGACTCTTTCCTGACTATACTCTTTAAATTATGCTCTCATCTGCCTTGCTTAATTAGCTTAAGAGGCACATTTATGAAATGGATTGAGATTTTGAGGGTTTTTTTTTTAATTTGTTTTTTATTTTTGTTATGTTTTCCTTTGGTTTTGGGGTCACATCCAGTGGTGCTAAAACCTTCTGGCTCTGTGCTCAGGGATCACTCTTAGCAGGATCGGAGGGGACCATATTGGTTGCTGGATATTGAACCCTGATTGGCCCCATGCAAGGCAAGTGCCTTACCCACTGTACTACCACTCTGGCCCAGATTGGAATTTTTGACTAAGTCTATTATGAAATAACTTGCTTATGTATTAAATTGACCCGGATTTTCAGTTCACTTCAAAGCGATATGCATAAGAAACAGCATAGGCAAATTAGAAGGTGTATTATTAAGGAAATCAGGGGAATAGTCAAAAGAGTTACATGTTTGTCACCAGGGACATGGGTGATAATTCAATGGCTTATTTTGAGGGGTGTTTGGCAGTTCGCATCAATGAAATAGGAATAAGTGCCAGGCAACAAGTATCATTTAATATATGAAAATATTTGGGGCGGGGCCAGAGTGATAGTTTAACAGGTTGAACACCTGCTTTGTATCTGGCAAGCCAATTGGAGTGACCTGAAGCACTGAGCCCAGAGTAGCCTCAAGCAATTATGGGGTACACTATTCCCCCCAAAAAGAGAAGAGTTTTCATAATTACAGGTATAATGAAGTGGCTTGAGTTGTTTATATTAAATAGTGGCTGATCTCTTCTGGGGATATTAAGACCGAGACTAGATGACCTGTTCTTTGGGGATATTGTTACGAGAATACAGATACAATAGAAGTTTTGACTAATTTCCATCTCATAATTGAGATTGTGTACAGCTAAAGCTAGAAGAAATTCTTCATACCCTAAGAGTTACCGAAAAACGCTAGTGGGATTTACTCATTTGTTATGGGAATTAGTCTTTATGTTACAGAAAGAATTTGAATATTACTAGCACTAATTACCTGGTTATAAGACATAAGTTTTGTTTTTACTTGTTTATAAGAAATGTAACCACTTTTCTGCCAATTATTATAAAGATTAAACCTACCATTTTCTGCTTCCTTGTATGTCTAAGTTTATTATTTAAAGTAGTGTTTCTGGAGCTAGAGATATAGTACAACGGGTAGAATGCTTGCCTTGCACATTGCTGACCTGGATTCAATTCCAGGTATCCCATATGGTCCGCGCAATTATGCAGTTGTGTTGCATGCACTCAGTCTGGGTTTGATCTCCACATAATTCCCTCTGAGCCCCACCCAGACTGATTTTTGAGCACAGAGCCAAGAGTAAGTCCTAAGTACAGTCATGACTCACAAAAACAATAAAGTTTCCCAGAATGGTTGTTAAAGGCCGCCATGTGGGAGGTTGTGTGTGTGTGTGTGTGTGTGTATGCGTGTGTGTGTGTGTGTGTGTGTGTGTGTGTGTGTGTGTTGATAGTAACCTTAGGTGCAATTGGGGGACACATTCTTTTTCTTGGCTTTTGCTTAAAGCAGGTATATTTTCAGGGGGACAATGAGTGATTTTTTTTTCTTCTGAAAAGGGGAATAAAGTATGAGCCTCTGATTTTAAAGGTTTATATTTAGGGTAGACCTAAGAAGAGCACTTTCATTCTTTTTCTTTTTTTAACTTTTTTGTATTGAATCACTTTGAGATCGACCCTTACAAAGCTGTTCGTGATTAGGTTTCAGTTATACAGTATTCAACACCCATCCCTCCAACTGTACATTACCCAGCACTAGTGTCTCCAGGTTCTCTCCCATTACCCCCCAGGCTGTGTCTGTATTATCACTTGGGAGTGGACATAGGTTTAAAAGGTTTCCAGGGGCTGGAGTGGGTAGGGTGTTTGCCTCGCATGCAGCCAACCTGGGTTCGATTCCCAGCATCCCATATGGTCCCCTGAGCACTGCAAGAGGTAATTTCTGAGTGCAAAGCCAGGAGTAACCCCTGAGCATCGCCGGGTGTGACCTAAAAAGCAAAAATAAATAAATAAATAAATAAATAAAAGGTTTTCAGAATGTTCTGTTGTACTTAAAATGTAGTACCATACATGTGTGTTTATTTTGTTATTTTGATAGCATGTGATTACTCTTTTGAAGTATTTCATGTTTAATTTTTAAAAATCAGACACAACATGGCAAATGATATTGTTTATTAATTCTAGTAACGTATATTTGTTTCTCAGTATATAAGATATTTGCATGTAACTGCTTTGATAATTAATGGTAATTATATATAAGTGAAAGTAATTGATCCTTTTTCACAGAACTCGACAGTACTGATGGTGCTAAGGTGTTTAGTAAACAACCAGGAAGAATCCAAAGGGTAGCAAGAGGTTCAGGTGTGTCTACAAGAGATGTTCAAGAACTTTTGACACAATATACCAAATTTGCACAGATGGTAAAGAAGATGGGAGGTATCAAAGGACTTTTTAAAGGTGAGAAAGAAATAAAGCACTCACCATTAGTTAATGAAGAGAAAAACATTGAGAATCTAAAAAATTAAAGCTAGAAAATACTGTCAGTATTGGAAATGTTGGTCAGATGAGCTCCCAGGAGGACCTGTACAGGGAATTACATCATCTTCTTCTCCCCTCCCCCACCATTCCCCCCCCCCCCCACAGATTCATTGTACTTTGCTTTGGGGGGTATGGGTAGGGGCCTGGGCTTTGGGGTCATACTGTAGTGGTATTCAGGGACTACTTGCTCTGTGCTTGGGCTACCAAGTGGTATCAGGGATCATTCCAGGGTTGACCACATGTATGGCAAACTCCCTAACCCCTCTGTATTATCTCTGTGATTGACAAATGGTGTTAGTTTTTATAGAAATGTTTTTAAGGGGCTGGAGAGATAGTATAGCAGGTAAGGCACATGTCTAATATACAGTCAAGCCTAGGTTTGATCTCCTGTCCTGTGTATGATCACCAAAGCCCTACCAGGAGTGATCCCTGTCCACGGAGCCCAGAGTAAGCCACGAGCACTGCTGGGTGGGATCCCCAAACCAAACGAAAACAAAATATATATAATTTATTCAGATTAACTACCTTTGTCATAGAATAAGGGAGGAGCAGGTTTGTTTTTGTTATTTTGAGGGTTTTTTTTTTTTTTTGGTTTGGGGACCACACCCAGTGATGCTCAGGGATTACTCCTGGCTCTGTGCTCAAGAATTACTCTGGCAGTGCTTGGTGGGGGACTAACTGGGGATCAAACCTGGGTTGGTTGTGTACAGGCAAACAAAAACCCTTTTCGCTGTACTATTTCTCTGATCCCATGAGACAGCTTTTATCTTAATTTTCAGAAATAACTTCTGAGTTAATGGTCTTTTGAAAAAGAAAATTTTGTTGAAGCAGCTCTGCTTATTTTGTTGCATTGGTGCTCTCTCTTGTTTCCTGTTCTTAATAACCCAGCAACTGTTCTGTCAAGGAAGCTCTTATTTGTTTTGCCTTAGAGTGTCTCTCTTTCTTTTTATTTATTATTATTTATGTGTTGCTGGGAATGAATTCTGCGCCTCACATTGCTAGGCAAGTGCTCTACTGCTGAGCTATATCCTTGGCTTTCTGTGTCTCTTTTTAAACTCCCTGCTGTTTTAAACTCTGGAGACTAAAAATGTGGGAACTCATTGATCAATGATGTTAATTATTTTTCCTTATTCTTTAATAGCTTAGATATGCACAAATCTTTCAAGTTCATTCAAACCCATTTTTTATACTTATTTATCAGCAAGCTGTTCTGTTTCTGTTTAATTCAATATTTGTAAACATTAAATGTTTTCCCATACTTCTGTTAAATAACTTCATAGCTTCCTATTGATATTAACAGTAATATAGTTGTGTCTATTGTGGCATGTTCACAGGTATAACTAAGTTTTAACTAAAAGTTCTTCATTTAAAATAAAAAAAATCCATTAAAGGTTTCTTAATACAGATTTTCACTCATATTTTTCTCATAAATCTGATTTAATTGAGGTATATTAAAATGGAACATATCCTAGGGGCCAGAGTGATATTATAATGGGTAGAGTGTTTGCCTTGTACACAACCTTCCTGGGTTTGATCCCCAGCACCATATAGTCCCCTGAGTACCTCCAGTAATGCCTGAGTGCAGTCAGATGTAACCCTTGAGCATTGCAGGGTGTGGCCCAAAAACAAACAAAAAGAAATAATCATGTTAATGATAAGATTAAAGGCGATATAATTTTTTTGTTTTATGGGCTGGAGAGAGAGTACAGTGGGTAAGACACTTGCTTTGCTTGTATGCAGCTGACAGGTTCTATCCTCAGAACCCCATACTTGCCTTGGGTATGGCCCAAAAACTTAAAATAATTTTGTTAAAATTGGTTCGCTTCTTTAAACTTCTTGAGATAGCTAATTTATAGTCCATTTTATATTGATTCAAAACTTTGTTTTTCAGGTGGTGACATGTCTAAGAATGTGAGCCAGTCACAAATGGCAAAATTGAATCAACAAATGGCAAAAATGATGGATCCAAGAGTTCTTCATCACATGGGTAAATATGAAATTTTCTGCCACTTACTGATAATACAGTTTAATTTGAAGTGGTTGAGTTTTAGTAAGCCTTCTGTTGTAGTATAAAATGTCTTTTTATGAAGACATTTTATGAAATTGTCTTCAAAAGATATGTCTTCATATTGTCTTCAAAAGACTGGAGCAGTAGTAGTATAAATAGTAGGGCAGGGCATTTGTCTTGTTTGCAGTTGACCCGGGTGCAGTCCCTAGTACCCCATACAGTCCTGAATAATCCCTGAATGCTGAGCCAGGAGTAATTCCTGCTCACTGCCAGGAGGTATGGCCCAAAAATCATAGGGAAAAAATGTGCTTTTTAAGGAAAAAAGTTATTTTAATTCCAATTAGAATATAATAGGACTAGATTAGATGTAAGGTTTTAATCACTCTTTTACCTGCCATTGGAGGAAAAGTTTTTTAACTTCTCTGAATTTTATTTTTTTCCTAAAATTTAGGAAATCTTGATAATCAAATGAGCTCTATTATTTATTAAAGCATTTAGTTGTTTAATAAATGATGCGTTCCCATCTCGAATTTCTATGAAATAATCTTTTTCACCTCCCAAATCTTTATTATAAGAATCCTTTGGACTTCCCAGAAAAACTGGTTTTGTTTAAATTTATTGACACCACTGTATGAAAGGAACTGTTGTAAGATCTTTTCATGTATTATCTCACTTCACAGCTTTCAAGGAGATTATTTGTTCTACAATACAGATGGCACTGCAGATTTTTAATCAGTAGACTGAGACAGATAACCACATTTCATTTACACATAGTATATTTTAATAGAAGTACTTAGGCAAAAAACTAAATGTTTCAAATATACTTTATAATTTTATTTTATTCTACTCTCACTCTAGGTGGTATGGCAGGACTTCAGTCAATGATGAGGCAGTTTCAACAGGGTGCTGCTGGCAATATGAAAGGCATGATGGGATTCAATAATATGTAAAAGAAGATGCCTTAATATAAACTGACTTAGTTGATTACATTATTTGCCGAGACCTCAAAGTTTCCCTTCTTTTTGCAAACGGGGGGGAAAAAAAAGTATTTTTCTTGCCTGTCTTTCCCTTATCCTTTTTCTTCTTGTCCTCTCATTTCTTTTTCCTTTCTTTCTTCCCTATATCTCTTTGATATAAGGGAGGAACATACGGTTTTTTTGTGGAAATCATTATAATTTTGCTTTAGATTTTCTTTTGTTTTCACCATCATACCACTTCTTAATTAAATCATGATGTAAAATTTTAGTACTTAAAAGTTTTTAATTGTCTCAAAGGCCAAGCATTACATTTGTAAACAGTTCGGTCAGTAGTTACATGATGTCTCAATAAAAAAGTGCTGTAAAATAAATTTTAAAATCGTTATAAGTTAAGGGGGTGTTAAATTTCTTTTTGATTTGAAATGATCCATGTATAACATTTAAAAGCAGACAGAAAAACCAACAGCTGTATTTCATTCAAAACCTTTTCTAGGGTCAGAAAGATCCTCAGCATGCTTGATGCAGAATGGAGGAAGTCTGGGTTTATCCCTTGCTCTGAATGGTCCCCTGAACACTTTTAGGAGCAAATCCCAAGCACAGAGCTTGGAATAGACCTCAACTACTGTTTGTGGTTCCTCCAAATTTATAAGTTTTTCTTACATAAGTTGCATTTTTATTTAATATTTTTGAAACATTAATGGCAGTGTTTTTTTTAAAGCCAATCTTATTGTTCTTACATCTGAAAACTGAAGAAATTAAAATTCTTTGATAATAATAAGCTAATGTACAGACCTCCTAATGAGAAAGTAATTGCAAATATCAGAGCTGTCACTATTCTATATTAAAAATAGTGGCTGAAGCAATAGTACTGTGGGGAGAATGTTTGCCTTGCACTCGACCTGCCCAGGTTCTGTCCCTGGCACCCTATATGGTGCCCTGAACCTGTGAGAAATGATCCCTGAGCACAGAGCCAAAATTAACCTCTGAGCATGGCTGGGTGTGGCTCCAAATCCAAACCAAACCAAAAAAGGACACTACCATTCATCTGAGGCTAGAGTAATAGTATTGCTAGAAGGACAAATGAACCTTTTTTTTTTTTCTGACTTTTTTTTTGGATACACCTTGTGATACTCAGGGGTTACTTATGGCTCTGCACTCAAGTATTACCTAGTAATTGCTTAGGGTACCATTTGGAATGCCAGAGATTAAACTCAGATTGGCTATGTGCAAGGTAAATGTCCTAAATGAACAATTCATATGATGAATAATCAGTCATCTCCTGGAAGAATTATGTTTGTTGGCATATAAAATGTAAGGTGTACATACACACATGGAAAATTTATTGCAGTTTTATGTAAAAATGTTTATTTTTCATCATGTAAAAGAGGGGCTGGAGCGATAGCACAGCGGTAGGGCATTTGCCTTGCACGCAGCCAACATGGCCAACCCGAGTTCGATTCCTCTGCCCCTCTTGGAGAGCCCGGCAAGCTACTGAGAGTATCTCGCCCGCACAGCAGAGCCTGGCAAGCTACCCGTGATATATTCGATATGCCAAACACAGTAGCAACAAAAGTCTCCAATGGAGATGTTACTGGGCCCGCTTGAGCAAATTGATGAACATCGGGAGGACAGTGACAGTGACATGTAAAAGAGACTAAAATATTACACAAATGACTATATTGATTAGATAAATGAAGCATATTATAATGAGAAGAAGTCTTTCTAATATGCCCATTTAGTGATCATGAAAAATGGCACTTAAATTCTGCTGGACCTATAGTATAGTGGGTGGGGCACTTATCTTTCATGTAGCCAACATGGGTTTGATTCCTGGCATCCCATATGGTTCCCCGATACAGCCATAAGTGATCCCTGAGCACAGAGCCAGGAGTAAGCCCTGAGCACCACCAGGTCTGTCACAAAAAAGCAGTGTCACCTAACTAAAAAGATGTAATATTATCAATTATGGCTGGAGCGATAGCACAGTGGTAGGGCATTTGCCTTGCACGCAGCCAACATGGCCGACCCGAGTTCGATTCCTCCGCCCCTCTCAGAGAGCCCGGCAAGCTACCGAGAGTATCTCGCCTGCGCGGCAGATCCTGGCAAGCTACCCGTGATGTATTCGATATGCCAAACACAGTAACAACAAAATCTCCAATGGAGACGTTACTGGGCCCACTCAAGCAAATCGATGAACAACGGGAGAGCCTTTACCTTTACCTTTTTAATATTATCAATAAATGCTGTTACATAGAAAGTAACAAGACTAGGAAATATTTTTGGAACTAAGTAATATTAATGTAGGTAAAAATAGAATGGCAATACCCAGTATCAGTGAAATATGGGGGCCTAAAATTAACATAAAATAACATGAATTTCTTATATATAAACAAGTATTTCCATAAAAATGAAAAAAGGTAGGGCTGGAGCAATAGCACAGCGGGTAGGGTGTTTGCCTTGCATGCAGCCAACATGGCCGACCCTGGTTCAATTCCCAGCATCCCATATGGTCCCCCGAGCACCGCCAGGAGTAATTCCTGAGTGCATGAGCCAGGAGTAACCCCTGAGCATTCCCGGGTATGACCCAAAAAGAAAAAAAAAAAGAAAAAAAAAGGTATTTCAGAAATGTGAAGGAATTTCAACTTGATACTTGTATATGCAGTAGATCAAGTATTTTTGTTGTTTGGGGACCACACTGTCAGTTGTTCAGAGATTAATCCTATTTTGTTTATTCTTGGTGATGCTTAGGGGACCATATGCAGTGCTGGGAGGGTTGAACTAAGTCTTTTATTTGAATATAGAGACCAGCCAAGGAATTTGAATGAGCGCTAATAAAAACTATGTAACAGGCCAGAGAGATAGTACAGGAAGTACTTCATTGCAAGTACCTTGCAATACAGCCAAACTAGGTTTGATCCCTGTATATTATTCCTTTAGCGAAGCTGGATGTGACCCCCTTGGAAAAAATCATAAAATTTAAAAACAAACCCGATGTAGAGCATTAACAACTAACAACTTACTAAACTTAAGTAAGCATTGATCTTCTTTAAAACCTAGTAATTATTAGTAGAGCCAAGTAAGTTATATTGAAAACCGGAGTTATTCTCACCTCAAATCTAAATGGTTTTCTTTATTGTTGGCTTTCATTGGGTGAGAAAGTCATCTTCAAAACTGAACTAAGTTTCAGCTACAGAATTCAAAATATTAAGCTTTTTTTGCAATAAAGTTGAATCTAATATGTTCTTTTCTTTTGGATATCAGTTGTGGGAATATAGATTTAATCTTGGATGTTGGGGAATTAGTTTAAATTTTAGTCCTAAATCAGTTAATGATACAGAGAATTTAGCTATGAGTTATTTGTTTTTTTTTTTTACATTTTGTGTTCATTGTTGAATAGTTGGCCAACCTTATTCCTCTCTGCTGACATTTGGGTAATATGGGCATTTTGAGTGCTAGGTAATTTTCAGATACATTTTTTTCTTTTTTATTGATTTATCATTGTTTTATTATGGAAATTTGGAGAAGATGCTTTTAAAGTGAAAATACAAAGTATAAACTGGTGATTATGATATGCTTACTTTGCTAATATTATTATGGTACAAAAGTGCTTTTGATTTTTACCTACATGTACTACCATTTGCAATTTTCTCATTTTACTTCCTCTCCATTTAAAATCATTCAAAGAGCATCTTTCAGCTTCTCTTGGCTTAAAAGGCTTTTTCATTAGCTTAAAACAATGCATTTCTCAGTGCTAGTTGAATCCTAAGTGGGAAAATAATCTGAAAGTGCATAGCAATACCTGCTTATAAAAGGGATAATTCACATGAGCCACTCACAAAGAAAACCTTCTACCTTGGGCTGTGGCTGCTCCATTAATACTAACTACATAAAGGACTTTCTTTTTATGGTAAGTAGAAAGGAGTAATACCCTTTTATTGTGGGTTATTTTTCCTAAACAACTTATACTTTTTGTCTCCTAGAGAGCATACCATATTCGTATCAAATGAGGAGAACATTTAAAGTATGAATTACCTATCTAAAATTTAGGAATGTTTGCTTGTTTTAATGATTTTTGTATTAGAATGGTGGAAATTTTCTCCCTGATAACCCAAAAATTATTTTTTATTGAATAACCATGTGAAAAGAGTTTTTTTTGGACATTGCTTATTGATGAACCTATACGTTTGTTTTCTTGACCAGAACCTGCCAGTGCTCAGTGTTTACTTCTGACCCTATGCTCAGGAATCACTCTTGGCAAGCTGAGGGTAGGATGGCGTGGGTACCTTATATGGTATCTTGGATTGAACCCTGAGTCAGCCAGTTGCAAGGCAAATGCTTCACCCATTGTAATATTGCTTCAACTCCTGGGCCAATACTTTCTGATACTGGAAAAATAATGGTTTCAGAGTTTTCATTTCTGGCACAAGTATTGTACAAATTTCTTTCCTGTTGCTTGGCACTCCTTTTGAAATGAGATACTGGGGGTATGCAACCCTTAAGTTATGTGTGTCCCTTTGATTGTTTTGTAATTTCCTTTGTTAATAAAACAAAACCTGGGTTACCTGTCCTGGGAGAAAAGGCATCTTTGTAATCTTTATTATATCTAAGTACTTGATTTTTATTATCAGTTCCACAAATATCTTTAGGATATACAGAATACAAAGAAGATAATGTTTGATACTAATGTCACATAAAAAAATTCTGAGCAAATTTTGGGACCGGAGCCATAATACAGTGGGCAAGGCATTTGCCTTGAACATGACTACCCAGGTTTGATCCCCTGCATCCCATAGAGCCCAACAAGCACTGCCAGGACTGATCCCTGAATACAGAGCCAGGAGTAAGCCCTAAGCATTGCCAGGTGTGGCCCCAAAAACCAAAGAAAAAAATTTTGACCACATTTTAATAAAATAAAAGTGTTTACTTTCATTGGTTTCTTATATAGAGAACTATAAAACTTAGTGGATATCTCTTGTTAAATAAACTTGAAATAAAATTTTAATTTCCATTCATTTTCAAATATCACACTGTCTTTGGTTTAGAAATGTTCTGTCATAGGGTTGGAGCGATAGCACAGTGGGTAGGGCATTTGCCTTGCACATGGCCTACCCAGCCAACCCAGGCTCGATTCCTCTGCCCCTCTTGGAGAGCCTGGCAAGCTGCACGGCAAAGCCTGGCAAGCTACCTGTGATGTATTCGATATGCCAAACACAGTAACAAGTGTCACAATGGAGACATTACTGGGCCCACTTGAGCAAATTGATGAACGGGAGGACAGTGACAGTGACAGTTTTTGACAACTATTTTTTCTATTTTGGTTTTTGAGCCACACCCGGTAGTGCTAAGTGAGTATTCCTAGAATTGTGCTCAGGGATCACTCCTGTTGGTGCTTCGGGGTCTTTACATGGTGCTATAGATTGAGCACAGTTTGGCAGTGTGTAAGGCAAACACCTTTCCCTGTAATATCCCCTACCCCACATTTTTATTCTGTTCATTTTTTTTGTTTTGGGGTCACACCCAACTTTGCTTAAAGCTTATTCCTGGCTCTACATGTAAGGTGCTGGGAGACAATAAGTGGAGCGGGGGATCCAGACTGGCAAGGCTAGTGCCCTACATACAATATTATCTGGCCCTCCACATTTTTGTTCTTTAGAATGAAAGAGTAGCTAAGCTTGTATGCTTTAGAATTTCAAGTAAATTATCCTGATATTTTTGTTAGTGACATAAGAATGAAAGATTTGGCATATTACTCAGATTCCCACTATAGGTGAGCTATGATAGGAAATAATGACAATACAAGTAAGCCCAAATAAAGCCATTAGAATTTCTGTGCTTTTGTGTCGCATGAGTTATTTGTAACAACCTGAGCTGGTATTTTTTTATTGTGTTAGCATTAATTATTCCTAGAAATATTTACTTTCACATGGAATGACTTGCATTGTGAAAATTTAGTAAAGTAAAAATTTATAAACTAAGTTTTGTTTCAGCAGTGAAAGTTGTAAAATTTTGTCAGTTTGGAAAATAAGATTATGCATTTATAATAACCACATAGCACAGCAGGTAGGGCGTTCGCCTTATAAGCGGCCAACATGGCCGACCCGAGTTCGATTCCTCCGCCCCTCTCGGAGAGCCCGGCAAGCTACCGAGAGTATTCGATATGCCAGACACAGTAACAACAAAGTCTCCAATGGAGACGTTACTGGGCCCGCTCGAGCAAATCGACGATCAACGGGAGGGCCTTTACCTTTTACCTTTACAAATTTCATATAACTATTACCCTTCTGACCAGTAAAAATGGGTTTTCAGGCTTGCTATTCAAGGCCCTGTTCTCCCTTCAAGACATTGAAGACGTATCTTGATTGTCTCTGTGTCTCTGCTTGCTCTTTCCACTCCGGAAAAGCTTGTGTTCTCCTTGAACACATATTTCCTCTCTTCTCTCCCCTCAGAGCTTTCTTTCCTTAATTTCTTTTGAGTTTTTTGGTTTTTGTTTTTTTGGGCCACGCCTTGCTGTGCTCAGACATCACCCCAGAGGACTATATGGGTTCTGGGATTGAACCTGGGCCTGCTGCGTACAAGACAAATACCCTAACCACTGTATTATCTCTCTGGTCCCATGCCCTTACATCTTTCTAAGTTTTATTCCGTAAAAACTATTGCTTCAAGTTTTTGAAAAAGGATTTTGATAACATACAATGAATGTAGACTTTATGAAAGTCAACTATGAAGCCATTAACATTGACTATTTTTCTTCTCAATTATCAGTTTTTGCCATTTTGGACTGTCTTGATCCCTTTCTTTAGACAGCATTAGATTATGTTAGTGACATGTTCATTTTAGCTACAAGATAACTTCATTATCAGAATGTAGATTATAAAATTCCAACCAAATTTTCAAAACATGGTTTTCAATCATTCAGCTTTTGGAGGTTTGGGGTGTGTGTTGAGTTCTAATTAAAAGCAAGATGGGGCAAGGGAGATTGATAGAGCAGATTAATCACTTCTTGCTTTGCATGCAATCAACCTGGGTTTGATTCCCACCCCACCATATGGTCTCCCTGAGCCTGCCAAGAGTGATCCCTTCACACAAAATCAAAATTATACACAGGATAATAAGAAATAAGGATTAATGATTTTTGCACTGAAGATTAAAGTTTTAGATATTGGGCCTGATGGTATCATGTTGAATAAACAGTCCAGCACTAGGTCACAATGTTGGGGGTTGTATTTCTGAATTTGGCATGAAAATGCAATTTGAAGTAGTAAATGAAAATTCCTGTGTCTAGTTGAAAGAGTCCAAAGGGTAACCGCAGACCTTGCATGTCTGACCCAGCAGGTTCCCTGAAAAACATCCAGTGGAGTATTTATTGGAGGACTCTCAGAACACAGTATCCCAAGGACTCTCGCGTTGAACTGCAGGCTGTTTGATCAAGAATCATCCAACCATCCCAGCTTAGAATAAGCCCCACATAGTTTTAACTAATGATTGCAATTACTTTTATAGTAGTACTTTTGGGCCACTCCAAGCAGTGCTTGGGTATCATTTCTTGGAGACTCCCAAACTACATAATATATGTGGTATAGATGGTATAGGGATAGAACCCAGGTCCTCCACATGCAAATACATTCTCTCTCTCATGACTTAAAGTTGGTTGAACTTTGAGAGAAAAATGGAAACTGCGGGGTAAGGGGTTGCTTTCACACTCCTTGAAACAAAATATTCCTCAAAAGTGTTACAATGGAAGTCTGCTTCTGCCCTTTCCACTTCTTGAGGCCCCTTTTAATCTGCGTCTAAGTATCAGGCTGAAGTCAGACAAAGCTGGCAAAATTTATTTCGGAGGCGCTTCACTTTCAGGTTATTTTGGCTAGACGCATCCACGTTAGGAACAGGCTCGGAAACCGTCAGCGTGAGGCAAGACACACAGCGTGAGGTATTTTCAGCAACAAGTTATCACAGCCCTTCAGGCACAACCCGCAGCTGTTTCACAAGCGCTGACTCCCAGGTCCCGGAGGGTGCCTGGAGGCGGCGGACGGGGCCGACGGAGTGTGACGTCACTAGCGGTGCCCCGCGGCCGCGGCGAGCTCGGGGCGGGGCGCGGGACCGGAAGCCTCAGTGCCGAGGCCCCGCCCCGCGCGGGTGCGTTGCGGAGTCGCAGCTCTCCCTCCGGGCGCTGGGCGAGCGGCGCCTCCCGCTGGGCCGGCGAGGGCGAGCGCGCGGGCGGCGGGCGGGCGGGCAGGCCCCGCCCCTCGGGCTGGTGCCGCCTCTCAGGGCCCGCCGACTCCGTCCCTCCGTGGCGTGGCGGGGCGGGCGCTACCGGTGGTGAGTGCCTCTTCCTCGTCGCCGACCGTGCCCCCGACCGCGGCTGGGCGGGAGGCGGAGGATGGATGTGGGCTTATCGGTCATTACGTTCTATCTCGCCAGTGCCAACAGCCCTGCAGCGGCGACGAGCATGGACGCGGAGCGCAGGAGCCGCGCGGAGGGAGGAGACGGAGTGGCCGCGTCTGGGGCTGCGGCCGCCGCGGCGCTCCGGGACCCGGCGCGGCAGGTAGGTGAGGCCGCGGAGGCCGGCGGCACCGAGGCTGCCCCTCTCCGCCGGGTCTGCCGGCTGCCCTTTCAGCCGAGCAGGCCGCGCCCCCCTCGATACCCTTTCTGGGGCTCCCTTCGGGGAATCCCGGCACCTGTGCCCAGGCACCTGCTTGGAGAAACGACGAGCGGGGCGACGCCTCCCCTGCCCGTCCCCAGCCTGCGCTGCCGGCCTCCCCGGCTCGGCCACCGCGGGTTCCCGGGGGCGAGGTGCCTGCAAGGGCTTTTCCTGCAGGAGGACGAAAGCGAGGCCGGCAGAGGCTCTCCTGAGAGCTACCTGGCGGCCAGGTGAGCGCGGCCCCAGCCCCCCCCCCCCCCCCCCCCAGGCCGTCGTGCCAGCGCCTGACTTGGCACCGGCCCTCCGCGATTGTGCGCTAAGCGTTTGCAGACGGTTTCGTTCCCGTCCGAGCCTCGGCTTGAGGCGGTGGGCGAGTCCCCTTCCCGCCCCGGGGGGTCGGCGAGGCTCAGCGCTGCGCCATCGTCCCCTGAGAAATGGACTGCGGGCCGCGCCCTCCTGAAAGCAAAAAAAGAAGCCGGTGAAATTAATTTCGACAGGTTGTAGTTACCTCGGTTTATTCCAAAGAAATAAAGATCTCCAACAGGTAGTTGGTTGATAGGAAAGTTACCGATGAAACATTTTGCATTCCCTGGTGGGTAGCGTCTTGGAACTCCTGTATTCCTCTCAGTTGGCAGGACAGTCACTTCCAAGTCATCGTTTGTTTGGCCACCTATGGCTGTCGGTCACGGTAGGATTTCGGATTCGATAGTCTGATTTGATAGTTTAGGATCTTTGGTCAAGTAAGCCTACAGAATGGCTTTAACTCAAACCAGGTCAGAAGTGTACGGTTTCAGCCACTGACTACTTCAAATTAAGCTTTTAAATTTTTTCCAAAAAATATTCTGGGCGGTTTTGAGCCTCAGCCTGCAGTGCTCAGGGCCTACTTTCCTGCTCCTCCATGGATGGGGGCTTTCCTGGT